AGGCGGAGCAGCTGCATTCGGTCTGCCAGTCTCACAAAGACAAGATCAAAGGTCTATTCCAAATCAAACTAGACGAGGTACAACATCAGTTTTTACTTCTATGTGTCACAGTTGTGTTGGTTTGTTTTTTATGCACAGATTAGATGTTGGAACTTGTTCCTTAACATGATGAAATATAAAATAAATATTATTTGGGTTCTGCAGAGGATCATTATTAGTGCTGGGGGTAAAAGGTTATTTTTCAAATGATTATTCGGGTGATTATTTTATTGAATATTCTAATGACTAATTAGAATATTAATCTGAGGATTATTTTTTGGTTGCACGATTAACTAAAACCAGAAAATCTCAAATATGTATGCTTTTTAGTATCAAGTCGTCAATGTAATCGACGTGTTGCTACAACTCTAATAATTCAATCAATCAATCAATCAAAGCTTTATTTATAAAGCGCCTTCCGCAACCCTGTCAGGAAGCCCAAGGCGCTGAACATGGACAGTAGAAGGTAAATATATTGAATAAATCAACAATAAAAGCAATTCAAATTACAAAATACAAATTACAAAATAGATGAAACATTCTGGTACAGGACAATGGATAGAGTGAACCAATGAAAACTGTGAAATAAATTCAACATAAAAGAGGGCCAAAATCAAACATGTTCTGGAAACGCCAAGCGGAGGAGGTGTGTTTTTAGGTGACTCTTAAAGACTGGCAGAGAGGGGGACAGCCTAACTGAGGGTGGCAACTGGTTCCAGAGTGACGGTGCTAGGACTGAGAAAGCCTGGTCCCCGCGGGTACAACACCTAGAACGAGGGACAGCGAGCAGGCCTTGGTCAGAGGAGCGCAGAGCGCGTGATGGGGAATGTATGTTCAGGAGTGTGGCTAGATAGGGGGGAGCACCACCCTGGAAGAAATGATAAACAAAGACGAGGATTTTGAATTGTGAACGATAGCAAACCGGAAGCCAGTGCAGGGAGGCCAGAACCGGACTGATGTGGTCCCGTTTCCTGGTCCCAGTCAGGAACCTGGCTGCGCTGTTCTGCACAACCTGTAGGCGACGCAGTGATGACTGACACAACCCTGCATATAGAGAGTTGCAGTTATCAAGCCTAGAAATTACAAAGGCATGCAGCACCCGCTCCAGGTGGGCTCTCGACAGCATATGCTTGATTTTTGAAAGGCGTCTCAGGTGAAAGAAACTGGACCGGATCACAGAATTGATGTGAGCATCAAATTTAAGTCCAGCATCAAGTTTCACCCCCAAACTGGTAACAACTGGTTTTGAGTATGGAGAAAGAGGGCCAAGATCAACATAACGACCCACATTCCTGCTGTTGGGGTGAAAAACAATGAGCTCTGTCTTTCCCTCATTCAGATGTAGAATGTTGGCCGTTAGCCAAGACTTCACCTCGTTAACACAGGACACAAAGGACTGGATAGAGTGACCTTTCTCCTGACACAATGGAGAGTAAATCTGGCAATCGTCAGCATAGAGATGGAATGATAGGCCATGTTTACGAAAGATTGACCCCAGAGGAAGCAGATAAATGGCAAACAAAAGAGGACCAAGGATCGATCCCTGCGGGACACCCCAGCGGAGCCCCTCCCAAGATGAAAAAACATCACCCAGTTTAACGCAGAATGTCCTGTTGTGGAGATACGATCTAAACCAATCCAGAGCTGACCCTTTGATCCCAACCCATCGTTCCAAGTGATCGAGTAGAATCGTGTGGTCGACTGTGTCAAAGGCTGCTGTCAGGTCTAACAACAGAAGCACCACAGATGTTCCCTGATCTAGTGATAGATAGATGTCATTTAGGACCCTCAGTAGAGCAGACTCTGTGCTATGGCCAGACCTGAACCCTGATTGAAAAACCTCAAACAGATCAGAGTCAGCTAAATGTGAGACCAGCTGCTGATAAACGACTTTCTCGAGCAGTTTCGATGTAAAAAGCAGGGTAGAGATAGGCCTGTAATTTGCGATCACAGAGACATCAGCACCAAGTTTCTTCAGGGTCGGCCAAATAACTGCTGCTTTCAAAGCAGCTGGGACAACACCTGTGCTGAGGCTCCCATTGATAATCTGACCAAGTGAAGGGCCAAGACACGGAAAGGCAGCCTTCCAGAGACGAGGCGGCAGAACGTCAAGTGGAGAGCCAGATGGCTTCTGCCTCGCAACTAGCTTATTCAGCTCAGAGTATGAAACAGTATTGAGGGAGCTCAGGGTGGGTGGTGATGGAGGAACTGGAACAGGGTCAATAGAGTTACCAGAAATAGCTGCTCTGATGCCTGATACTTTATCTACAAAGAATCTGTGAAAATCTTCAAAGTTTCCTGCAGCTGTAGGAGACATGGAGCTAGGCTCCTGATACACCAGAACAGAGTTTAGTGTTTTGTAGAGAATCCTGGGATTCTTGGAGTTTGTTTCGATGATGTCTGCAAAATATGCAGTTCTAGCAGCCCTCACAGCATCCTGATAAGCAACCAGAGATGCTCTGAACAACTCACGCGAGACCTGTAGGCCATCCTTTTTCCACTTTCTCTCAGAGGATCTACACGCCCGCCTGCAAGCCCGTGTGACATCAGAGAGCCAAGGCTCCCTCCTAGGCCTAGACTTGCAAAGTTTGAGAGGGGCAACCACGTCCAGGACCTGATTACAAAGTAAATCAAAGTGTTGTGAATAGTGATCAATGTTAGATGGATCTGGGTTAAAGGTCTCTAACCTTACAGACATACAGTCCACAAACTTTGAAATTGTTTCTGCATCCAGGGCTCTGAACCTAGTAGCTGGAGCTTCACACACAGGGACAGGACATGGCAGCGCAACATCACAGAGTATTGAGGGAGTGGTCAGAGAACACAGGAGGCAAAGTCACAAGGTTCATGACAGGGAGACCAAAAGAGAGAACCAGGTCCAGGGTGTGACCCCTGGCATGAGTTGGGGATGATACCCATTGAGTCAAATTGAATGAATCTAGCAAATTCAAAAAACCTTTAGCAAGCACATTATCAGGACAGCAGATATGGATGTTAAAATCACCAAAAATAGGACATAGTCATATTTTAGGATGCAGTCTGCCACAAGATCACATAAATCATAAAGGAAGTTAGAGTCAGTCTTTGGAGGGCGATAAATCAGCACAACGAGCAGGCGGGGGGAGATGCACAGTTCAAATAAGCACAGTTCAAATAAAGAAAATGACATGGTGGGTGTACGCTGTTTACAAGGAAAGCTGAATTTAAAAACAACAACCAGCCCTCCACCTCTGCCCCGTGATCTGGGGATATTAAAACAGGAGCAGCCAGGTGGTACGAGCTCGAGTAGGGCGCTTGAGTCACCAAACGGGATCCATGACTCACAGATGCAGAGATAACCCAAGTCATGCTGAATAAAAAAGTCACAAAGAATAAAAGTTTTGTTCAGCACAGACCTGGCATTGAGCAGACCAAACCGGGTATGCGGTGGGGCTGCGGCACCGAGATCGCGCACGGGCCCAGTCTCCTTTAACTCTGAGCCCGTAACCGAGCGTAGATTCTCCCAGCAAACACCAGTCTGGCGAGGTCCTCGAGCCGATTGGCCGTGGCCCAGTGCCAGTTCACCCTCAGAGCCGGCCAAGTTCCCTAGGCAGGGCGCAGAGTAATCCATGAGACATCTTGGAAACACCGGGTCAGAAGCTGGGCCGAATCGGACCAGCCGCTTCTTCAGGGATCCAGCCCGACGTCTCACGCGCCGGCCACCTCTCTTTCCCCGTCTTCTCTGATGCTTCCTTCTCGAGCTGGGGCGGACAGAGGGCCAACACATCACTGCTTGGGGGGAGAGAGCACACGGGCAGTCCAACCAGCAGCGCCATCCGTGAGGTTCCCAGCGCGCGCAACCCGCTACATCAACGGGAGGACGAAGCCTCAGCAGCGCAGCTCGATCATAAGTCACCAGAGAATCATGCCCACAAAAAGCTGCGGCTGCTGAGCTGTACCCCTCACGCCTGCATCGCCCACAATGCCGATGGCGAAGCCTGCTGCCAGCCCACTGAGGCCCACGCTCAGTCCAGCTCCGAGGTGGAGGAAACTTTTGTATAGAGTAATCTTGTCCGAGATGTTGTTGGCGATCAGCACAGCTACCACCAGGCCGTAGATGGCTATAATACCAGCCATGACCACAGGGATAATAGACTTCATGATGAGCTCCGGCCTCATCACAGATATTGCAGCGATACCTGTGCCGCTCTTCGCTGTGCCATAGGCTGCTCCCAAGGCGCTGAACACCATAGCTGCGGAGGCACCCATCACTGCGAAGAACGATGAGTATTCGGGGCTCGACATTCTTTCTGGCTATAAAAATAAATATACAAAACTAACAATGACTGATTGGGTAAAATAGAATAATAAATGGCACTTCACGGAAAGTAATTGAAGGCCACGGCTTAATCTTTTTTTTGTTTAAACACGCACACACACACACATACAAGACAGACAAATCACTACATTGTGCATTTACAAGTTGACTGTCAAATTGGGACACCTGTACACATTGTTGAGAAAAGACCATACTTATGGAGCCATTTGTATCATTTTTTTCTCCACCTTCACTTCTTTCATCTTGCATGGCAGATTTTGTCTTTAAATTTTTCCCCACTCTCCATTTACACACACTTTATCTCCAGCAGCAAAACATAGAACCACTCTTGTAGTGGAGACGTTTGGGTGTTTACTTTGTGGACAGAATGAGGGCATCAATGAGGCCGTAAAGATCCAGGACCTCAGCAGAGAATCCACACCATTCAAAAAAGTCATTAGAGACAACAAAAATGCATAAAAGCCAATAAAACGCCAATAAAAGCCAGTAAAAAGCAAGGTACCACTGCATAAAGAGGACGAGCAGCTCGCAGCGTGCACCCGCGCGAGCGCCATCCCCACTGTCTTCGATTTTGCCCTGTTATCAAAACCTGGAAGAATTCTGTCTTAAGCCTGATTCATGAGTCTCCGTCTGCATCAGTGCGGAGACACGCAACGCCATTATCCGTCCTTGCGGGCCTGCTGGAGAGCTCCGCAAGGACGGACGGAGTCGAGCTCTCTTTTCTAAACATCCGTCCGTCGAGATGGACAACGCAAGCTTGTGATTGGTCAGGACGCCGCTGTCGTCTACACCGCCGCCATTGCGCCCTCAAAAACATAGAGAGCCAAGGATAACTAGCGGCAGACACGGAGAAGCTTGAAGAATACCTCGCGAAAAACTCTAAAAACATGAACGTTTAATTCCCCCGTGACTGGAGGAGTGAAAAGATGCGCAGCAAGCGTTTTATTTGTGGACGGAAATGACAGGAAACGTGGGTTTAGAGGTGGGGAGCGCATAACAAGGTGGAGGAGAATGAGAGACAAATTTGTCTGTGTTAAAAGGTCTTGTATACAAAAAAACACAATATAAACACACCATCTTGGACCAGATACATGACAGGATACCACAGAACAACGCTACGCCCTCTGTTGTCCTGCCGGGGAGTTGCTTTGCAACACTCCCCAGGAGACGGAGAAGTATGAGGGCAAAACATCTCCGTCCCTGCGCGCGTGTCTCTCCCAGTTGGAGCTGACGGAGAAGCATGAACCAGTCTTAAGTTGTACGGGATAACTATTTAATGCTTTGATTACTTCAATACTAAACTGTTGTTATTTATTACAATTGAATTGTCCCAAATTCCCTTTGAAATGACTCTTGCTGATGCAGTGTTAGCGGCTCCTCACTGGTTGTTTAATTCATGCAAATTCAACGGTAAAGCTTCTGTATACACTTCTGTTGTTTTCTAAGTCATTTATAATTCCATCTTGGCCTGCGGATCACTTTATTTTAGGATTAGTTGTGTATTTTTGAACTTTTATAACGGGAGCATTTTCCAGAGTTGTTCTGTTAAAAGTTCTCTTATGTGGAACCGGTTCCTGACTTGGGTTTCTGAGGTAGACGCCATGTTTACTGTTGTGCTGTCATGATTATAACCCAGTGTAAGAACATATGGTTCTGTGTGTGTGTGAACCAGTGTAAAATATTTAAAATTCCTGTCCGTGTGTGTGTGTGTGTGTGTGAGAATAGCTTGGAGTAAAAGCCCTGACTGTGGAGGACCTTCTTCAGGCCCAGAAGGAGATATCAGCTCACAACTGTCAGCTGAAGGAGCAGACGAAGCAGCTTGAGAGAGACATGGCCTTGTTGAGAGACCACAGCCTGCTGCTGGTGAGCCCTCGGAGCCAGTTCCTGTTCCAGCTTAGCTTTGCCTGACGGGGGACAGACTGTTGGTGTTGAACTGTTTGGTCCTGCTCTAGCTGCCTCCACCTGGTCAGAGACAAACATCACTAAATGAGCGTTCTGGTTGATTTTCAGCTCAAGTCTCGATGTGAGGAGCTGAAACTGGATTGGGGCTCTTTGTGTCTGGAGAGTTTGTTAAAGGAGAAGCAGGCCTTGCGCCGGCAGATCTCTGAGAAACAGAAACATTGTTTGGAGCTGCAGGTACACTTCATTTATGTAATTGATGTGTTTTAATGTTAAATGTCTCCCTGTTTCCCTCATTTGTTTCTGCATTTGTTTAAATTATTCCATCTGTACTGGAGCCTTGCTGTCACGTTAAAACATGCTTTTGTCCTGGTAACCAAACTTTTGCTGAAATGCAGATTTCTTTTTAGATCTGTTCAGCTGCAAATCATGTCATGGTCAGTTTTGCCCCGTGTAACGGCTTCCCCTGGTGTCTGCTTTCAGATCAGCATCGTAGAGCTGGAAAAGAGTCAGAGGGAGCATGAGCTGCTTCAGCTCAAATCCTACAGTCCTCGTGAGGGCTCCCCCTACAGGAAGACCCTGGAGTCGCGCGCCTCCACTGATCTGGACTCCTCAAAGCTCGGCCTGTTGTCTGCCCCAACTCTCAATGGCATTAGCCCAGAGCTTTCTGTAAATGGCACCAGCTCACCCTGTTTCGACCGGGCAAACACAAAGGTGGAGTTTTCCCGCTACCTGCCCATGTCTCCAGACCACGACATTGTTCCTGCCAGCACTGATGCACGACAGCGGCAGCAAAGCTCTTTCCACGCGCTTCCTGACTACACACGCTTTTCTCCCGCCAAGATTGCCTTGCGAAGGCACCTTAACCAAGACACTGGTGCCTCCGCTCACCTGAGGGGTCCAGGGCTGACCAATCACAGGTTAGTCTCCGAAAGGCGTAATTAACATTATAAACATGTTAATGGTTGTAAATATTATTTAAGCTGCCTTGCAGAAAGTTAGACGACTGTTTTTGTTTTTTAGGGAACTGGGAGCTGTGAACTCTGCAGTTGGAGTTAAACAAAACTGCTCCTCTCCCAGTGCAGCTGACGTTCAGACTAATCCTAAGATTTTGGAGCGGGTGAGTTTAAAATGGTTCCATTTCCTTCCACAACATCATTTTGTTGCTACTGAGTGGGTTGCTGTTGTGAAAGAAAACAACGCATAATAAGATTTTTTTGTGTGGAAATATTTTCCAAACAGCAGCACCAGGAGTCATCGTGACTTCAGGTTCTGTTGTGGGTGGTTAGCGCTCACACACACATTTATATTCATATTTCTTTCATCTTATTTTCAGTCCTCAGTAGCTTTTTTTAAACGTTTGGAATAGAAAATCCTTTTAGCTACGCTGATTTGAATCTGAATATTTCTGCTCTCTATCCTCCCCTCCAGGGTGCTAAGGACAGGAGTCCATCGGTTCAGGGGGACAGCATCACAAGCCTTCCAATCAGCATCCCTCTGAGCACGGTCCATCCCAGTAAGCTACCAGTTCTACCAGTCAGCATCCCACTGGCCAGTGTGGTGCTGCCCAGCCGAGCTGAGAGACTTGTGAGTTTCTTCTACACAACTGTCCTGCCTCCTGTGTAATGAACCCACATTTGTTTAGAAACAATTACTGTGTGTTGTTTTTGATTATAATTTCTAATGTGGGGTATTTAGTGTTTTTAAATTTTATTGTTGTTTGTTTTTATCCTTTCAGAGAAGTACTCCGAGTCCTGTGGCAGGTCAGACCAATGGTAAATATTAATATTATTGAGTATTGTCTCATTCATGTGGCAGTTTCCTGATCTTTTTTTGTCTCTGTCCATTCCTGTAGGATATCCATGCAGCTCAGGGCTAATGAATGGAGGTCCCTATCCTGAGGACCATAACGGTGCTTCTTCATCCCCTCCCACTAACGGCAACAGTCCCTTGATGGGACCAATGGGACGAGGAGGTCCCATTCAGAGCCCCTCTCTGAGCACCGGGGGGGTGCTCCAGTATGCCGACGGACCTCCCAGGATTCTTCCAGAAGATGGAGCAGACCGCCAAGGTGGGGAATCAGACACGGAGCATCAAGACAATGAACTGCAGAGGAGGATGTTCTCCTCCTCTTCATCTTCGTCTTCCTCTTCATCAGGCAGCGTGGCCGGAGGATCACGCCTCCACCATCACACCGGCAACTCCGCCAAGCAGGGCTATCACAACAACCACGTGAACCACCACCACCCGTCTCCGGGCACGCAGCACGCGCACACTCCCACACACGTGTCATCTGTGCACTCGCTCGGTGCTCAGGAGGGGCGCAAGCGAGGCAGGAGGAAGCGCAGCTCAACAGGGGCTGTCATGGCTACTACGTCCCCCAAGAGGAGGTCATTCCCTGGACTTGGCTCCAGCAGCCACTCCTCAGGATCTCCACTCAACATCAACTCCATGGTGGGTCACATGGGAACGTGATGGCTGGTTATTGATTCTACGGATCACTGATACGTAAACGTGTCACTAACATAAAAGATAAAAGCTTCAGAGTTTAAACTGAAGTGTCATCTAGTGGTTTTATGTCCTTCAACAGGTAAACAACATCAACCAGCCTCTGGAGATCTCTGCCATCTCCTCCCCAGAACAATCAAACCACAGCCCCAATGGTCCTGACCTGGATCAACCCCCGGTTTTGAAACGAGAGCGCCCCCTAGAGCTCAACGGCACGGGCCGGTACTCCACAGCCCCAAGTTCTGATGACGAGGACTCGGGGTATCCCGCCGACAGCTCGAGTTCTCGGTAAATAAGTGTGTCTGACTCGTTCCTGGGAGTTTTTATGTGGAGTTAGAAAATGTTTCCTATTAAAAACAAAAAGGTTTCTCGCTTCAACTGCTAAACTTTGATGTTTTTCTTTAGTCAGACGCATCTTCTGATTGTTGTTCACTCGTATTTGAATTTAACACCGTTTTATTTTTAAAACGCGTTTTTGTTTAGAATTGAAAGAAAAATAGCCACTATATCTTTGGGGAGCAGAGACGGCCACGGTAGACTGGGTGATATTGAACGAGGTAAGAAAACAACAACAGTAAACAAGACTAAACGAGGTTCATTCCTGCAGTTTTACTTGATGAATGTTTCTGTCTCTAGGCAGAAAATCAGGTAGCAGCAGCGGGAACAGCACAGGAAGTGAGGCCTCCTCCTCCTCCTCCTCCTTGTCCTCCACCAGCAAGTGGAAATCCACCTTTTCACCCATTTCTGATCCCAAACAGCCCAACGCTGACCTGAGACAGGGGGGCTCTCCGTTCAGCACGGGGGGGTCCAGTCGGGGCACGGACTCGGACTCAGACCACAAACAGCTAGGGAGGAAAGGGAGCGACGGGGACTCTTCCAGCTACGTGACCCCCAATCCTTTCCTCGGCCAGGAGATGGGGGCGCGAGTTGGAAGCGGGGGTGCTGGTGGAGTCCTGGGGGGACCTGGATCCGACCAACGCCAAGCCCTCCTAAAGCAGAAGGCTTCTCGTGACTGGGAGCTGAAAACCAGCAGCAGCATGGCCAGTCAGAATCTCTTCATTTCTGCTGCCGCCAGCAGTGGGGGGGGCATTCTGAGTGGGAAGGTGGGGGGCAGTCCTGTAGCAGTTTCTTCTACCACCGGGCCATCTGTGGGACCGTACCTGGGCTCTCAGTTCCCTCTTGGGGGGACCTCAGTCTTGCAGTCCCTGTTTGGGGCCCAGACTGGTGTGTCCAGCGTGAGCGGGACGTCTAGGCTCGTCAACGGACACTCGACCCTGGGAAGTTTCTCGTCTCCTGGACTGGCGGGGGGAGCAGCAGGAGGTGAGCATCATCAGCTGGTGAATGATTCGGATGTTAGCTTAGAATGAGGTCTTATTCTGGGGTGGTTTGATACAGCGAGGTAAGTGGAGGCCCAGTTTTGCTTGTCTCGTCCGCCCCATGGACACACTCTGCTGCCATGCTTCTGACATGGACCAGCTGCTTGATAACACCCTGGGAAAATGGTGTAGTCACACTAAAATATAGACATTCTTCCCAAAACACTGATTGATCTGGTGTTTGTCATTTTCCCAGGATGTGTCTGTTCTGAGTTGATGTCAGAGTCATTTCACCGTTCAGCTAAAACATTAAGAGATGAAGTCTCTGCTGCGTTTAATGGTAGTTATTATTATTATTATTATTTTTATTTTGGTTTCTGAGGTAACGGTGGACTGACTCTGTTTGCTTTCTGTGTGCTTGTCTCAGACTTGCTTGGCGCTGTGCACAACTCAGCTCAGTCTCTGCTTCTCTCTTTGTCCCCCTCTTCTGGTTCTCTTTGCTACTTTTATCTGCTCTCTGTCTCCACTCCTCCACCCCCCTCCCCCTCCGTCCGTTTCTGCTGTATGATTTGCAGGTATATTTCACCACGTGGTTCCCTCAGTGTCCTCTCATCAGTTTGGGGCTACGCTGCCCACCTCTGGAGGCCTCAGCTCACTGCTCAGTCTCTCCTCCTCTTCCTCTACCTCTTCCCAAACCCAGCAACACGCCACCTCCCAGCCAGCCTCCACGCGCCTGACCTCCGTCACCTCCCCCCTCCCCCTGTTCCAGGCCCAACACAGCCGCACACAGTCGGTCCTTCACAGCCCCTCTCCTCCGACGCTCACGCTGCCCCCTCCTCCCCCCCTGCACAGCGTCACCTCCACCCCATCTGCACCCACGCACTCTGACACCCCAGCATCCTCCCGCTCAGACTCCCTCCTCTCCCCCCGCCTGTCCCAGTCCTCTCTACATCACCAGAGAGTACAACTGTCCCTCACACTGTCCATCTCTTCCTCATCCTCTTCAGTTTCTGTCTCTACCCCTGCTGCTGCTGCTGCTGCCTCACACCCCTCTTCTCTGTCCTCCTCCTCGTCTCGTCCATTTGCAGTGCACTACTCGCCTCGGCTGCCCCCTCCACCTCCAGCCAGCAGCTCGGGTGGTGGTGGGAGCATGTGGAGGACTCAGAGCATGCATGGTACCCACACCACCTCCCAGCTCCCTGGCTCCCGACCTAGATAGGATATGGGGGGAAAGGGGGGTGGGGTGGAGAGGGGAAGGGAAGGGAAGGGAAGGGCAGAGGTCAATCAGAGGATGGATAGATGAAGATAGGGAGACAGTATTTCCTCTGCTTCTACAAGCTGTTGTTCTAAATGAGCAAGGTAAGAAGACCCAACTCCATCCTGGTCAGATGATGAGTTTTTGAATCATTCCAGGGTTTCTCCTGGTTGTCTCATTTAGTGCTTGTTGTGTTAAAGTCCGTAGTGGTGCCCTCACATCTGGGTCGGCCCGGCCGAGCCCCGGTAGGTTAATTGTGTTCACATCTGGGTTCAATCTGTGTGTTTTCCATGCTCAACTGACCATTTTTTTCCCGGACCTGCTCTCTGGCGATCTGCTTTGTGCGATGCTAACCCAACACATCCCTTCCAACTGATTGGCTGGCTGAAATTCACGCCTACCTACTAGAGGAAGTCTCTGGTGTGCAAAATCAGCCAGCAGCGGCTTCCCAAATGCACAATTGGTTATCAGTCTGGGTGCAGTGGGGTAAACATCTCCTCTGACTGCAGCTTGGACCTGCTGCAGCAGCATGAGGTGCAGTGCTGCTCAGCGAGACAGTAGGAAGCCGTGTGCTTCATGTCAGCATCTCCAAAAGCAACACTGCTCATGGCCGCCTTAGTTTACTTACGTGAGGAGGACAACACAGACTTTTCTGCATGTCTTTTTTCCCCGACTTCATGCTCGGAGACGTCCACATTCCTGAGAAGGATGTGAACCACAGATGTGATGGTGTGACCCAAACCTGGCTGCGTGTGGGCGGGCCGACCACACCAAGACCTGGCCAGACCAGGTGTGAAAATGCCATACGCTACAGTCACTGACAGCTTGTTTCTTTATGTTTGAATGTTGCAGGTAATTGATGAAATCTACCTCTACTTCAAATAAACTATGCAAATGTCCAGGTGTGGACCAAGGCTATTCTATGGTGCTTCAGACCATCTGCACTACCCAACTGCCTCCAAGACCGGCTTCTGTTCTGGGACACATGACGCACGCACACACAAACACACACACACACACACACACACACACTAATCACCACTATTAAGCAGAATTTACTGGTACTCTTGATATAATAATGAATCGTTTCCAATTAGTCCTGATAGCGTGTGTGTGCGCATGCGCGTGTGTGTGTGCGCGTGTGTGTGTGTGTGTGCGTGTGTGTGTGTGTGTGTGTGTAGACACTGAAACACAACAGAGTCAGTCCAGTGAACTCTGCTCAGGCATCATGCAGCCCTCCCATCTCTCCCTCCCTCCCTCCCTCCCTCCCTCACATTGCAGCACAAAAATGTGCAGAAAACAAGATGAGGAACGTTGGTCGACTTCACACTGGAAAATAAGGCAAAGCCACTCTGGTGTCTGACATGAGTCCTGGCTGCTTCACTGGCACCCTTTATTATGGACCCAGTTTCCTGACGTTAAGACGGCGGGAAACTCATGAGTTTCTGATATTTTACAATAATACAAACTCATTTAACACAAATGGGAGCTGCATCATGCAGAATTGTGTTCAAATTTTGAGTAAAACAAAAAACAGTCTGCCACATTGTGGCATTAATGTTTTGAAATCAGCCCGAGTTTGAAAACCAGGCTAAGATGTTTGCGGGGGTGCCAGTGGAACGCTAGGTATAATCTTCATAAGTAAAATCTAATGGAATCCACCAGATGAGTCAGCTTTTCGTTGTTAAAGAGCCACAGCTGTTGGTAAACAGCTGGAAAACTATTTATTACAGCCTTCTTCTTTATCACACTACTATCTGGATTCTCTCACAGCACGACTTTTAAACTTGTCATAAGCTGAATTATGTCCTATTTATGTCTGTCTGAGAACACAGGCCCAAACATTTGTGTCTTTATTATTCCAACCACACACACACACACACACACACACACACACACACACAATCGGACATGCAAATTGTGACACTGGGAAAACGCATGTCACCATAACAAACTACTGGACTGGTGTCACACCTCTGTGTTTGCTTGTTCATGATTTTTGTTTTTGTAAACGATGTTGGTTGTACTGTGAATGTGAATCCTCTGTATAGTTGTGGATTATTTAGATTGATATTATTTATGCCGTCAGACTTTTCATCTGCCTTTTGTATTATTTTTTTCAGCTTTTTTGTTTTTATTCTGAATTGTGTTGACTTGGTAGAATGCAATAGTGTGTGTGTGTGTGTGTGTGTGTGTGTGTGTGTGTGTGTGTGTACTTGACTCACAGTCTGAAAACCACGGTGCTAAGTTAGGACTGTGCCTGATCGTATTTATTTTATGACGAACATCAGAAACCAGATAGAATACTTGGTGCTGTTCATAGGGACTCCTTTAGGGCCGGAGTTTGTGGAGTTCCTCGTGTCTAACGTGCTCCGGTCTCTGCCTGTTGTAGGTCTAGACGCTCTCTCCTGTAGCTGCCTGGTAAATAAGAGCGAGAGCTTCTGTCGATGTAGAGGTCGGTCTCCTAACGTCACACACCGTTTGTGTACATTTCCTGTTATGTTTTACTTCTCAATCATAATCAAAGGTATATAAAGTATGTATCTAAAGACAGTTCATCTATATAAGTAAATAAATAAATATATATATATATGTGTGTGTATAAATATATAAGAAGTGATGGGGGGCGTTTTGGTGCTCGTGTCGTGACCCTTAAATCCAGCCTGTTAAACAGGAGGCTTGAAGCCAAGCAGAGCAAAAGCATTGCCACCTCGGGACCTTAATAGGTGGAAATCCACGTCGTGGATTCAGAACCGGGACTAAAATCTCAGAAGCTGTCGATTTATTTTTATTTTTTTTAACACACACACTGGTGCTGAGTCGCGAACACACACACAAGAGTCCAGCACCAGAGCTTTTATCTCTTGAATCAGGTCTTTTCAAATCTTTTGAGTTTTAGTTTGTTCTACTAACCAGTTTTTTTATTGTTATTTACATGAAAATGGTGCTTTTCTTTCAATGCAAAGCTCAGTTTTTACAAACTAAATTTCTACTGGTGCATAAAAACGACGTCATTGTCTGCTGGAACACTGAAGCTCGTCGTGGTGTAACTGTGTGAATAAGAGTAACTGTTGATAGTGGAAATACACTTATGTGGTGCTTTCTCCTCTCCTCCACTTGTCGGTGTTTAATATCTTAAAGAGATTTTTAGAATAATATTGAAAGCTTTACTGTAAAAACCTCCTGTCACGTGCACTCCCTCTCAAACCCGAACGCTTTCTTCGTCTGTGAGTGTTGAAGTGAAGAGAAGAAAGTGGTTTTTGGTCTATTTGTTACCAGCACTCGTTAGAGGTATTTTGTAATTCTTGTTGCTTTTCCTATCCTCGGTGTTTGATACGATCGCAGTTACTTGTTTTTGTTCCCGTCGGGTTTTAATACTATTGCTATTCAGACAGACAGCGCGGTGCTCTCATTCACGTTAAATAGAAATAAAAGGAAACCGCAGCTATTGGTTCATTCTGTTCTCCTGTTTTGCTGCTGGGTCTTATCGTTTATGTTTATTCATTTCATTTAGGAGATGCTTTTATCCAAAGCGACTTACAATTTAAAAATAAACAACCCAGAATGGTGCAGCCTAAGGCGTTGTCCTCACCTGAAGAGGCCACAGGGTGTATGTGCAAGTAAGATTAGTTTGTGGAAAAGGACAAATAATGAGTTTAGTGGTTGGATTGGTCCAAAGGGTCCTTTGGGGGTATTGTTTGGATTGGAAGTTCACCAGCACACCACACCTGGTACATTTGTTAAGCTGTGAGCTCTGCAGTGGAGGCTGTTTACTCTAAATGCTGCCAAAGGTCATAACTCAGGAACCTTTCAACAAATCTATTTCTATAAAACCTATTTATGATGACGAAGTCCTTTTAGAAACCCAACTCAGGTTCATGACCTCCCGTCTGTGAGTTTTAAGGGAAAAGGATGAGAACCCTTCAGACTGGCTCTACTGGCACATACCTCTTCAGCCCTCTTCAGGTCCAGGAGCTTTACGCAGCACTTCCTCTCTGATTCTGTCACTAAAGCCGGAGGTTCGGTGTCCCTTATCAGATCCCTTTAACTCTTGTTTGGTTTGTGGGGGGTGGGGGAGGGGCTGTTTGTGTGGTGATCTGTGATTGGTGGAGCCAGGGCAGGTTTGAGGTGCAATAATGGCAAACCTACTTTCCAAAAGTCCCTGGTTTCAGTTTTATTGTTTTTGTTTTTTTCATCAAAAGGAAAACAAACAAACACCTTGTTACTGTTTGATGTTGGTGCTTTTATCCTAAGATGTTATAAGGAAACAAATGAAATGAGTGTTTTCTGCATTTTATGTTTATTAATAAAATGTTTCATATAATATAAAAATATTTTGCTGTTCAGTTTGTTATTTAGCGTTAGAGGAAAATGCTGCTTTATTTAAAAACTAACACATTAACCTTTAATGTTTACTAGGGATGTAAGAAAATATTGATTTGGGAATATATGGCGATATTTTTCCTGCAATATATCGATATTTAAAAGCCGCGTATCAAATATTTGGAAGAATTTGCGTGCAAAGATGAGTGGATTTTCTTTTCTTTGGGTACAATTCAAATGCCGACCACTAGTTGGGAGCAGTGTGCACTGGGTTTTGTTTCCACCATTGAACTGTAAATCCCTGTATTATGGTTCAGACTTTGTTTTTCTGGTGATTAAAACGTGCTGCATAGTTGACTAACATCCTCAAAGGAGTAAAACGGCTTATTCTTGAATAAGAATCATCTAAAAGGAAACTTCCCAGTAAACCTAAAAGCTCCCTCTGTTATCAACTCTCTGGAAGTTGATGTGACATCAGACTATACATTATATCAGTTTTTTATTTGGAACGCTTTAATCGTCATTCTTGCCATTCCTTGCTAGAATAGATGCAGTGTTTTCATTTTTATCTCCTGGGATCCACAGCTGCTCTGCTCCTCAGACCTTGACTGTCTGCAAAACACGGCTGGAGCTGTGAGAACGGGAAGGGAGGACGGTTATGGAAGCGAGTCTGCTGCCAGAAAACAGCCTTATGGTTAGGGGAGAAGCTCAGATGATACTGTTGCTTTCAGGAACGTCTTCAGAAGGAAATGTATCAAAACGACATTAAAGGCTTAAAATTCACACAGAGCCAAATACAATGGAGCTTGTTATGGTTTGGCCATGAGAACTCATAAAGGAGCAGCTGGATTATTAGGTTATTAACTGATAACACGACAAATACTATAAAGATTGAACACGATAATGGTGGATCATTGAGTTGGAAACTGATCTCTTTCTTTCTTTCGGTCTTTATTTAGTTTTATAGCATTAACATTTTTCTTTTCAAACAAAACAATATTAACAACTTGAATTTAAACCAACAAAGGAACAGGCAGAAGCAATGCTTATTTTAGCCTACCCTATTTTCCACCTAAGATACATAACCGGTATACATTTCTTTTATTTTCCCCAATATAAATAACCACAATGAAAATTCATTCATGTCTATACATACTTTTCATACCCTGTAAATATGTGACACTTTACACCTGCTTTAAACTTTAGTAAAGAAGTACATTTATTCAAATCATCATCTAACTCATTCCACAATTTCACACCAACAACGGAAACACATCTTGATTTCACATTAGTTCTGGCTTTTACACATTTAAACATAAATACACCTCTGAGATTATAATGATCATCTCTTGGTTTGAAATAAACTTATGCAATTTGGGATATTATTATTAACTACTTTATGAAGAATCTCTAAGATTTTTACTTGAATAATATCTCCTAATTTTAGCATTTTAGTTTGACTAAATAGATTATGGGTTGGTTCGAGGTATCCCAATTTATTAACCATTCTAATCGCCTTTTTTTGTAATTTAAATACAGTCTCAACACACGTTTTACCTGCATTTCCCCAAACCTCTGCACAGTAAGACAAATAAGGCATAACTAAAGAGCTATAAATCAAAAACAAGGCTTTTTTATTTAGTACATCACTAGTTTTATAAAGTATAGCAATAGATTTAGACGCTTGCCGTTTGATATATTCGATATGTGGTTTCCAACTGAGTTTACTATCAATAATCACACCGAGGAATTTAGTTTCATGTACTTGTTCAATTGGGACTCCATTTAAAACCTATATCTCTAAAACCTCATTTGAATTATTTTGTACAACCCTCCCACTGTCTTTATGGGTGACCCCGTGAGGAAAGTTGACCATTGAGCAGGGTTGATGGTTTATCCCTTGGATCCATGTGACGGGGTGAGGAGTGAGCACCACCTCACCCCTGCCATTTGGACCTCAAGGGATACCATCAATCCTGCTCAATGGTCAACTTTCCTCACGGGGTCACACCCATAAAGACAGTGGGAGGGCTAGCAATGATCAATATGCTCTGCAAACGATCAGAATTTTAATAACAACAAAACAAGTCTGGTATAAAAGAAGAAGAAATGATCTTTTATATAGCACCTTTCTAGGTATTAAACCATGAGGCACTTCAAAAGAACAAACTTTTCAAAACTTAGAAGAAAAAGGATTTTAAAAATTATAAAACTGATGCGAGGAAAGGGAAAATGAATCCGTGCATCCCGGGAAGGGTAGAGTTAGTAGAAAGAGCAGAATACGGAGAGGATGGTGATGAAGCTCACACCAAAGCCAGCCTGAACAGGTGAGTCATCAGCTGCTTTTTAAAGGAGACCACTGAGTCCACTGATCTCAGGCTCACGGGGAGAGAGGTCCAGAGTCTGGGGCCACAGCAGCAGATGATCTGTCACCTTTGGTCTTTAGCCTGGTGCGCTGCAACACCATAGGGTTTGAAACCCGTAATGAGCTTTTAAACTGCTTTAATATAATTTATCATTGAAAACTGGCTCCAAACATTTTTAAAAGCCACATATTTGTGTTTGAGTATTTATCTTTTCTTACCTACATTATGTTAAGTTTTTCACCTATTGCGTTTAACTTGAATCTGCTGCCATGACCGATTAAAAAATCCTCCATCTTTCTTCAGAAAGCAGTTTGTTTCGTGCTTGGACATGAATTATATTTTCTCTCTCGATGAGACGAAGGTCAGCAAGTCTCATCAACAACATGTCCTGCCCTGCAGGGGAGGTGGGAGGGTGCAGAAGGTTTCCTTCAGAGTTGAAGCTGTACAGAACAACTGACAGGAGAAAGTCTGACAACGCAGGTGCTCCCTCGTTGCAGACAGCGAAGCATGCATTCTGCCGTTATGTTTCTGCTGTTCTGGAGCCAGTTTGGTGCCATGCTGCAGCTCTGGGGCGGACTGATCCAGCCTCACAGCTCCATGGTAACAGGTCAGGCTGTTTCCTGTGATTGTTGCACCTTTTTCAAAGGCGTTATTGTGTTGTCCATTTTGGAGTTAGGATATTTCAGCATGACTGCATGTTTCTTTTTGGGTGTATTTCTGTTCAGCAAACCCAGCTGTTGCAGTCCCGCGCCGTGCACCTTGCATCTTGGACGACACCGTTGCAATGCTGCGTGAAGCAGTGGGAGAGGATGGAGAACTCACAAACAGCAGTTTAGTTCTGTTTGGGCTCTGCGGGACATCCAGCTCGTCTCTCCTATCGGAACTTGTAGAAGAAACGAGAAGCAACAAGAGAGAAATTCTGAAGGTTCTGAACCCAGCTGCAGGTATTTATTACAGACTAGAATCAGAATCAGAATCAGAAAACTTTATTGGTCCCCATGGGGCAATTAATTAATTAGAAATAACATGTTTTAACATTTATCTATTTTATTCTTATGCATCGTCTCTTTTTCTCCTCCTTCAGTTCTTGTGTCAGAAGAAGAGGATCAAGAAGGCATAATGTTGAACTTTGACCTTCCGCAGTCATTTTTCCTGAATCCGTTGCTGATCTTAGCCTTTGAAACCCCTTTAACAGTTGGAAACCTGGAAGTCACATTCAGTAGCCGGTCTCTGCAGCCCAACACACAGGTAGCAATAACACCTGGTGAAAACATTGTATTTGAACTGCTGATGTCTTATAATTTCTGTTTTTTTTTTCTAGTCTGTGTGCATTTCAGAAGGAACACAATACATCCTACTAACAGGGACACCACCAGAGGGCAGTGTGGAGCAGAAATGGAGGATTTCTGCTCAGACAAAATCACCTGACATGAGTAGGAGATCCTTTTTTTCTGTTGTCATCGTCTCATATCACAGGCACCTTCTCATGTTTATTCTCATTGCAGAACAAACCCTAAAAGACCTCCTTACTGGTGGAAACTCGGGGAATAACGTCCTTGTGACTCCACTTCTGCCTCTCACATCAGAACAAGGAACAGATGCTAGGTCGCTTTCATGTTTCTCCTGTGAGGTTTTGTTAATGTGATCCTGGATAACCTCTGTTCCTGTTTCAGGCAGTCACGTGGTTCAGGTCAGTCTTCTCAGACCTCCTTCCTGTGTGAGCTGAGGCGTTTCCTGGCTGATGTCCTGCCCCAGGGCCACGCTGAGGCCCTGCTCTTTAAACTGGACTCCTTACAGTCTCTGCCGCCCCTGACTCTCGGCCCGACTTCCAGCGAGACCCTGTTGGCAGGGATCATCAACTCTTCTGCTCCCACCATCATCTCCTTCAACAGCTGGAGCTCCAACTTTCCCGTTCACCAGCAGCAGCTGGCTCTGTCCCCGGCTCTGCTGGAGGAGCTGAGGCAGAAGTTGGAAAATAGGGAGATGGAAATAATGGAGTTGATGACGCAGGAAAAAGTCCCTAGGAGAACTGCCGAGAAGCTGGAAAGGCTCAAAGATCTCAGTGGTTTCCAGAGGAAGGAACCTGCAGCAGATGGTGAGTAGAACATGACGAGCATATTTATGCTTTCAAACAATTCCTGATTCTTCTCTGTTCTGCTCTGAACAGGCGGGAGTCAGTACCACGCCTTTCTTCTGCTGAAGGCCCTGCAGACGGTGACCCATGCCTACAACATGCAGAAGAGGCTGCGGGCCACCAGAGCAGGCTCCAGCGGGTCCCAGGGGGGGCCAAACTGTGGGCTGCAGAGTCTCATAGTGTCTTTTGAGAGGCATCTTCTGAGCCCACAAAGGGCCAACATAAACAACTGCCAAGGCCTGTGTTCATTCCCTCTGCAGTCCAACGTCGTCAACCACGCCGTTCTGCTTTTGCAACACACCCAGAGCAACGGCGCGGGCGTGCGGGAGCCATGTTGTGTGCCCGTGGCCTACGACTCCCTGGAGGTCTTGGGCTGGGACAATGTTGGCAGCATTTTCTCCATTAAACCCGACATCATCGCCAAAGAGTGTGGATGTCGCTAACGCCGACTCCCTTCTGCAGAATATTCACTTTATTTACTTGTGTGGTTTTAAACCTCCATAATTGTCACATTTCTACTTTAATGTCAGTAATCTGTAGCATGCAGTATTCATACATTTTCTTACTGGGACATCTTAGAAAGATCGTTTTAGACTTTATTTTCACAGAAATGATGCAACATACTCTCTTTAAATGATAGCTTCAGTCCTTCATTGATTATTACAAGATCAATAAAAGAATTTTAAAACCACTCAATCCAAGGTTTTTCATTACAGTGTTTTTCTGTGTTCATTTTCCTGTCAGATAAATCAAACTGAGCTCTTGACGATTGAACCGAAACATGAAGCAGAATAAAAATAACTTAATGATTAAATGTGATGTTTTAGTCAGGAGTCAGAAACAGCTGATGAGATCTGATTAGTCATCTTTTAGGTGTATTTTGTGCTTTTATTCTTTAGATTTTGGTTTCAGGATGACTTTGTGGCCCATTGGCTTTCTCCGTCTTCTTATTGCTCCAACTTCCTCAGATCCCCACCAGCTCACCAGACTGTCCCATAAGGAAATCTGTCAACAGGAAAAACAACGTGCACTTACAAAGGGAGATTATTAACGAAGAACCAATGCTGTGGCACTAAAATGTCTTGGTGTGCAAAAACACATTTTCACATGAAGGAGAAAATCATTCATTAACATTTAAATCAACAGTAACTGCGGCAGTAGCGATGTCTTCTAAAGATAAACTTGATTCACATCAGAAAGCTTTCTGATATTTTTATAAATCTAAAGATGAATTCCTGTAAAATGAGAGCTTCAACCCTGTCAGCTGTAACATCCTGTAATAATCTCATGTAATCCAGCATAACCATCATTTACATTATTTTAAAGCGTGAGTCAACAGCTCTGGTAAAAGAAAACAAATGCAGCCCGTGACCTCCTGAGATAAACATGACTCAGCAAAGCTAAGTAAAGAAAATCAGTGCCGTTAAAAAGTGTTTTATTTTATTCCTCACTGATTTCTTCTGTTTCTGCTTCTTTTTGATTCACGTATTGATTTGTTTAATCACAGATTATTCTGGGTTTAACAAGGGTACATTTACTTTTTCACACGTTTCAGGTTTGGTTAGATTTTCTCCGGTGATAAAGGGAATCATCATTTGGGTTTTCTTTGTCTGGTACTGACATTTGTGTGCTGATCTGAAACCTTGTCAGGGAGACAATAAAGCAAAAACTCAAGAAATCCACGAGGGGTAAATATGTTTTACAAAGGCTTGCAGGGTTCGTGTTACTGAACATTTTAAATGATGCAGCTTTAAATGAATGAATGATTCAGAGGCGGAGCCTACCCGTGGTAAAGAGCCACTCTGCAGACTGTTGTACAACGGAACAATTCCAGACTCCTCCACCAGATAATCCAGAGCTTCTAAAAAAAATCATAAAACAAACAAACAAAAAACTATTCTGGGAGGTAAAAGTTCAGCTGTGCAGAATCAAATATAGTTGAACACAATAAAGTAATCCAGTGCAATAATAACAACAGAAGTAGAAATGAGTGTTTGGCACTGCACAGTCTGGCAGCATGAGATTACAGTTACTACACAGAAGATTTGTGAATAAATTCAATCAGTTTAACCGCCCATTTCAGAAAACAACCTCACATATTAAATTCATGACATAGATTGATGTCACGGTCTGAGGTGCATTCCTGCTGTCACTCCCTGTCTTTTGAGTTTTCCCTCTGCAGGTGGACATGTGGAGGTTGACCAAGCTGCAGCAGATCTGCTCATCAGCTGGCCAGGGGTATTTAAGCAGCTGAGAGACTCCTACACTTCGCTGGATGATTACTCTACCCGGGTACCTTCTAAGCCACCTCTTCACAGTATTTTTGAGCTCTTAGGACCTTTTGAGATTTTAGATGTATTTTGGATTTTGCATTTTACCCTTCCTGCTCTCTCGTTCACCAGATCAAACCTCCACCTTCATCCCCGACTGGCTATTCTCTGGAACTCCAACCTGCTTGTCTCTCAGCTTCTCCCTGGCCAGAACCACCTCCAGCTGCCCACCTAGCTACCTGGATCTCAGCAAACTCGGCTCCCTCCACGCCTCCCCTTCTGGATCTCAGTCTCAGGAATCTCCTCTCAGCCCAGACCGGACCACTCCTCCCTCGAGCTACTTTCCCCTCTCTCCAGACTGTGAGTCCTCCGCACAATTCAGATTCCTTGTTTTTCCCCTCGAATTGGATCTAACTCCCATCTGTCCACAGATTTCCCGCACCGGCTCCCTTTATGAAATAACTCGGCTACGTTTCAAGCTGCTTCCTTGGTTTCCCTTTTAATAAATTCTTATTTAAACACTTTCCTCGTCTCAAGCTGATTCTGTATGTTGTGGGTTGGACATCTACACCACAACATGACAATTGAAACATTTCAAGCCTTTTTTTTTTTCCCCTAATTTTGATTATTTTGGCTACAGACAATAAAATATAAAATCCAGTGTCTCAGAAAATTTGACTATTACAAGAAATCACTAAAAAGGAGATTTTAAACAGAAATGTCTTCAAATGTGTTTATTTGTACGCATCGACTCTTGGTCGGGTCTCCTTTTGCACGAGTGTGCATCAGCCCACACCTCCTCCACATTCTGGGACCTTGAATTCCAAATGACCTGCAGACTTTAAGAAGACTTTGGACCACTGAGCAACAGCCCAGGACTTTGTCTCTTTAGCCCAGGTAAGCTCAGGTGTTGACCATCATCTCAATCGGCTTCTTCCTGGTGCAGCGTTTTCTTCCATGTGATTGGTTGCAGCAATCTGTGAACAGCAGAGTTCCTTACCAATGACCTTCTGTGGCATCCCTTCCTTGTGGACATTGTCAGTGACTGTCGTCTGGACATCTGTCCAGTCAACAGGCGCCGCCATGATTGTGTAGCCTACTGACCCAGACTGGGACCAGTTGTAGGTGTTTGAAGTTAAATAGCTGATTAGAGTGAGACACCACGACTGTTCAAATTTTCTGAGAAACTGAATTTAGGATTTTCAAATCTGTATCAATAATCAAATTACTAGAAATAAAGGCCTGCACCAGTCCACTCTCTGTTCATGAGTTTCACACAATGACACAAGAGGTTTCTCTCAATATTATATGTATTTTTAGATGCATCTGTTTTTGCGTCTGAGAACAAAGAGACTGATGACAGCCAGCACTCACCGTGTACTTCATTAACTCCTGAGCTCACCAGTAGAACAGCCAGTGCCACCACCAAACAGCGGTTCATAGTAATTCCTTTCCATGGGTTTGAAACTTCACTTAAATTTTCAATGGACAGAATCCGTTCATAAGACACTAGAAAAGCACACAAATGCCCTAATTAGACATCTTATGTAGTTTTCCCACACTTAGATGGTTGTTTCTAGTCGTTTACTTGTGATATCTTTTCTTTTGCTGCTTCAGTTGTTTGTATTTCAGTTCCCGACGTCTCCCTGAGCCAGAGCCTGAAATAGAAACATGCAGTGATGTTAAAAAATGCATTTAAAGGAGCTCAGAGGTTAGTTTGATTCATACGTAATCTGAAAAGACAATAACCTGACCTGGTTTGGTCTCTCAGTCGTGTCTCCTGCAGACGAGAAGTTCATATGTCGCTGGTTACCAGTTCAGAAACAGCCAGCTACTCCTGAGCTTCTTGATTGACAGGCACAGATGGGAGGGTTATTATTATTATATGGGTGTGTTGTCCCCCCCCCCCCCCCCCCCCCACACACACACACACAAAGAGAGATGACAAGTCTTTATTATATGTTTGCAGCAAATAAATTACAATGGGTAAAAGATCCAGCTCAAACAGGCAAAGTTCAAACAGCAACAATTAACAAACACCTGCTGCAGGTGGAGCAGAATCGTTAGGTTATGCATATAACCACTGTTCCCTGAAGGAGAGGAACGAGGTACAACGAAGGTACTATGGGACATGTAGAGAGGGTAATTAGGTATGTATTTGGGTGCTTTTAAAGCTTAATATACTACTCTACACTTTGACCAATGCGATGTGAATTTCCATCAGAAGCAGGGACCTGAAAAGGCTCAACAGCCTAATATAAAAGGCTGGTTCTGTTCTGGGGATGACTGTGGAACCACTGGAGGAGATAATGCAAAGAAGGATTCTCCAGAGAATCAAGAAAATGATGGACAACCCTGAACATTCTCTTCACAAGACTGTCCGACAACAGAAGAGTGTCTTCAGCCAGAGGCTTCTTCAGTTTCGCTGCAACACTGACCGCTACTGGAGATCCTTCCTGCCAACAGCCATTGTAATACAGGTGCTGGCCAGTAAATTAGAATATCATCAAAAGGTTGAAAATATTTCAGTAATTCCATTCAAAACGTGAAACTTGTACATTATATTCATGCAATGCACACAGACCAATGTATTTCCAATGTTCATTACATTTAAATTTGATATTCATAAGTGACAACTAATGAAAACTCCAAATTTGGTATCTCAAAAAATTAGAATATTCTGAAAAGGCTGAATATAGAAGACACCTGCTGCCACTCTAATCAGCTGATTTACTCAAAACACCTGCAAAGGCCTTTAAAAGGTCCCTCAGTCTTGTTTTGAAGGCACCACAATCATGGGGAAGACTTCTGACTTAACAGCTGTCCAAAAGACAATCATTGACACCTTGCACAAGGAGGGCAAGACACAAAAGGTGATTGCTAAAGAAGCTGGCTGTTCGCAGAGCTCTGTGTCCAAGCACATTAACAGACAGGCGAAGGGACGGAAAAAATGTGGTAGAAAAAAGTGTACAAGCTCTAGGGATAACCGCACCCTGCAGAGAATTGTGACGACAAACCCATTCAAAAATGTGGGGGAGATCCACAAAGAGTGGACTGCAGCTGGAGTCAGCGCTTCAAGAACCACCACGAGGAGACTCATGAAAGACATGGGATTCAGGTGTCGCATTCCGTGTGTCAAGCCACTCTTGAACAAGAAACAGCGCAAGAAGCGTCTCGCCTGGGCCAAGGACAAAAAGGACTGGACTGATGCTGAGTGGTCCAAAGTTATGTTTTCTGATGAAAGCAAGTTCTGCATTTCCTTTGGAAATCAAGGACCCAGAGTCTGGAGGAAGAGCGGAGAAGCACAGAATCCACGTTGCATGAGGTCCAGTGTAAAGTTTCCACCGTCAGTGATGGTGTGGGGTGCCATGTCATCTGCCGGTGTTGGCCCACTCTGTTTCCTGAGGTCCAGGGTCAATGCAGCCGTCTACCAGGAAGTTTTAGAGCACTTCATGCTTCCTGCTGCTGACCAACTTTATGGGGATGCAGACTTCACCTTTCAACAGGACTTGGCACCTGCACACAGTGCCAAAACCACCAGCACCTGGTTCAAGGACCATGGTATCCCTGTCCTTGATTGGCCAGCAAACTCGCCTGACCTTAACCCCATAGAAAATCTATGGGGTATTGTGAAGCGGAGGATGCAATACGCTAGACCCAACAATGCAGAGGAGCTGAAGACGACTATCAGAGCAACCTGGGCTCTCATAACACCTGAGCAGTGCCACAGACTGATCGAGTCCATGCCACGCCGCATTACTGCAGTTATTGAGGCAAAAGGAGCCCCGACTAAGTATTGAGTGCTATACATGCACATTCTTTTCATGTTCATTCTTTTCAGTTGGCCAACATTAGAGAAACAAACATTTTTTCATTGGCCTTTAGAATATTCTAATTTTCTGAGATACCAGATTTGATGTTTTCATTGGTTGTCACCTATAAATATCAAATTTAAACGTAATAAACATCGGAAATACATTGGTCTGTGTGCATTGCATGAATATAATGTACAAGTTTCACGTTTTGAATGGAATTACTGAAATATTTTCAACCTTTTGATGATATTCTAATTTACTGGCCAGCACCTGTATACAACAACTCTTTGATGACTTGATTATTATTATTATTCTGAGCTACTACAGCAATCAATTTCCCTCTGGGATTAACAAAGTATTTTGAATATGAATTGAATTTGAATATAATATGGAAATCCAGTCTGATTGGTCTTTAATGTTTAACCAGAAGATTTAGAATTCTTTGTTTATTCAGGGATTGTAGAACACTTCGTGTTGATTCGAGAAGAGAGTCAAGTTAATAAAAAGTAAGAATTTATTTTCCAAACAATTAAAAACACGACAAGTTAACTAATATTGACTGTGATGGATGGATCTAGGTGGATGGAATGTGATGTATGGTGACCATATGTGAATGTGAGGTTATCAGAACTTTCGTATCTAGAAGAACTGAGTTCTGGGTGAAAAAGGAAAGAATTTGGTTTGCATTAACTAGGAAGTTGATTCTTATCAAAGCCACATCAGATGCGATCATGTTGTGTCTACCTCACTCTTTGGAAGACCCTCTTCGTGGATCCGAAGGTCAGGGAGGTCGGATGACCTCTGGGCACAAAGGTTTGTAGAATAACCGCAGCGCCGACTCTCCAGTCCAGAGATGTTTCCGGGTCACAACAGAGGGATGGAACCGTTTGTGTCAGGACTCTTAGGGAGTCGGAGCAGCTTTGTTCAGCAGGAACTGTTTGCTGTGTCAGCGGTAGGCAGCTTTTAGCAGGGCTTGACAGCTTGCCAAAAATGCTCTGGGTTAAAGAGGTTTCGCTCCGGACGGCCATTCCGTAGCTTTTCTCTAGAACGGAGTCACCGTCTCGTGAGCTCTGTTTTAATATTCTCATATTATGAATTCTTGTCTAATCGGAACGTGCCATGTTAAGGGATATTACCAAGAATCTCAGAACATCACGCCTTCTTTGAGATACGGATGCTCTGATTTGGGGTAAAGAAATATCTATGTGTCATGAGTTTAACTTAACTTTAATTTGTCCTTGTGTCTGAGTGCGGGTGATGATTGCCTTGTCATATCAAACATTACTGATTACCATATAAATAAATCATTCAATGTAATAATTAATTTCAAACTTTCAGTAATTCAAGCACAGATCAATCAACCTCATTGCTTTAAGCACAGATTAATGAAGACATTATTATTTCACAAATGATTAACTCATATGAGTTGAAAACCGTCACTCTTATATTAGTCCAGTCCGGCCTAGAGAACCAGGCAGACTTGGCACAGAAGGACCTTGAGAGGGGAACAGTTTGTTGACAATATGTTATCATGTGTTCTGAGCTGCAGAGAGGCCCAGACTCCAGCTGATGGAATGGCAGGATCTGGCAGATTAAAGGCAACACATGTAGACTCCTGTCTCCATGTAGACCAGATACTGAAGGGGTCAAACTGTACATGAAAAACTGACCATTTCTGGACATTACACATTTCAATTCAATTCTTTATTCAGGACAATGCACATTAATAAACAATCAAATACATTGTATCGATCGTAAATGGGCTAGATTATAGCATAGTTGCTAATTTGCATCTGTAGTCCGTCAACAAGATAACTAAGTAAAACAAGTAACACTATACAATTTAAAAACAGTCAGATATAAACGTTCCATTAAAATAGACAAACAAAAAAATAAGAATAACTAAAGATGCAAACATGTCTGGGAACCTTTAAGATGTAGTTTGAGGTGCTTTTTAAAGGTGCTATAAGTGGGAAACTCTCTGATATTCGCTGGGATGTTGTTCCAAAATTGACTCCCTCTAACGGACAGTACCATTTGTCCAAATGTTTTCCTGTAGGGGGTCTGAAGGTCTCCTCTAGTGGAGGCTCTAGTACCATAGCCTTTGTCTGGTCTTAATTTTATGTATGCGGAAAGTGGAGGTGGAGCTAGTCCATTAAGTGCTCTGTTGATTAAACAACTATTTTTGAACGTAATAAAAAAAATTTTAATTAAGCATGTTGTACTTTGCCAGAATATTACAATGGTGATTTGACAAAGGCTTTTGATCCAAGATTTTTATAGACTTTTTGAATAATATTTCTATTGGTTTTAAAAGAGTGTCCCCAGTGAATGACCAGGTTGTGATGCAGTAGTCTATATGAGAGAAAATCATGGAGTGCAAAAACATTGTAGCTGAAATTGTAGTCATTGAAGATCTAATTTGTTTAAAGTTACTTATATTGAATTTAATTGTGTTCACTGTATGTTTAATTTGTTTTTTAAAGGATAGTGTCGGATTCAGGGTGATTCCAAGGTACTTGAACTCTTGCACCAGGTCCAGCTCTACCTCCCCCAAGAACACGTTGGACCGCTCCAGATTTATGGATTTTTTTGTGAATATCATTGCAACTGTTTTTTTTTTTCAGTAACAGGCATGACTGATGGAGCCAAAGCTGTATGTTCTCCAAGGCTAATGTGAGAATAGATGATGCTTCCGGTGTACTTTTAGAAGGTGTAAAAATAACCGCATCATCCGCATACATTTGGAAGTGTACATTTTTACACACTTTCGGCAGGTCATTTACATATAAAGAAAACAACACTCGTCCTAAGATAGAGCCCTGTGGGACCCCTGCTGGACAGTGAAGGTATGATGACATTGTGTCCCCAGCACACACAGACTGCCCTCTGTTAGACAAGTAAGATCTAAACCAGGCTAATGCATTTTCTGAGAAATTATAATGAGTCAGTTTGGTCAGAAGTGTTTGATGGTTCACTGTATCGAATGCCTTCTTTAAATCCAAAAAGACTGCGCCAGCACAGGTGGTTTTATCAAGCAAGGATTTCACTGTCTCTAC